TATTGATGCCACTGAAGAGGGTACTGAGGAGGACGATAAGAAATCTTCTGGTGCTGATGCTGCTCCTCCTGCTGCTGCTGCTACTACTGAGTAGTCGGCTTATTGAAAAATAAACACTACTACATACATTTTCCACAAATATGAAATAATAATAATAATAATAATAATAATAATAATAATAATAATAATAATAATAATAATAGTGGAATAAAGGCATGTGCATGGTTACTAGTGTTCAATTGCCTATGTCTGTTTGGGGGGAAAATGGTAGTAGTGTTGGATGTATTAAATATTACCAATAATATTGGTTCTTGTGTTGTGAAATTTCGTTGCTTGTGTTAATAAAATTGTGAAATATTGTGTAATATTTTGGAGAATGCTACCATCCCGTTATGGGATGGTTTCATTGTCTTTTTTGAATCAAAAGAAATAAAAATAATAAAAAATACAAGTTACAATATTTACAAAAACACAAACACCAAAAGTAAGAGAAAAAAAAAATACACAAAATAATAATAATTTTTATTTTTTTTATTTTTTATTTTTTTTTTATAAAAATCAAGAGAAACACAAAAAAATAAAATTAATACCAAAACTAAATATACTACTTGCCTTCCCCGGCAACGGCGTCAAATTTATTGTAGCAAATTATTTTTATTTTTACCGAGTAACAAATCAAAAGATTAGTTTCCCGGGTCGATCTCTCGAGGAAGACTGTTCGGAATTTAGAATTAGTATTAATATCACATAAAAGAAAAATAAATCCTAAACATTCTAATCAAAAGATTGGTTTTTAATTATTAACTAAGAAATAGCATAAAATATAAATCTACCTAGAAATATAAACGGCACAAAAATAAAAAGGCTAGGGAATGGGGAATAAACGTTTTGAATTGAAATGCAATTATCGACTCATGATCGTTCGGTTAAAGAAATCGAGTCACCTACACGTTTAGAGGTTCATCCTCAATACCTTTCGGATTATGAGAATAAATATAAATGGTAAATTAGCGAATTGTTTAACACATAGACAATACGTCTCCAAACATGTCTATTTTGTATGAGTTTCGATCGATTGACCTTTCCCCTTTCGGTTCAAGAGTCGATTAGAATAGACTAGATGACTAATAATCATCTAGTCTATTCGGATCGTGTTCGTCACAATAGAACACACCATATTCAATTTGAAAACAAGTTTAACATTGAATGCCGTCACAATAATACCTCTTATTGTGACGACATAGCGACAAAAATTATTGGCACTAAAAATGATTATTCTTGTAGTGTGTGGATTTGAACTAGGCTGTTTAGGTCACTTTTGGTGTCCCTCCCATCATCCTAAATAAAAGAAATTTCAAGTGCAAATTCATAAAACTTTTGGGGTACTTTTACAAATTAAAATTAATTCCTATATACATCCCCACCAAGCTTTCCCCCCTTTACTCAGCAGCCCTAATTTCTGCCGTGACAAAACAACACAGTTCAGAGCTCTCCCTTTTCGTGTTTGCTTGCATATAATCACGTATTTGCAGAGTAAAGGCACAGAACAATGAGTCGGAGCTTAGGAATTCCGGTGAAGCTCCTTCACGAGGCATCGGGGCACGTGGTGACGGTGGAGCTGAAGAGCGGCGAGCTGTATCGTGGGAGCATGATTGAGTGCGAGGATAATTGGAATTGCCAGCTCGAAAACATCACCTTCACTGCTAAGGTAGTTCTACCTCTTCAATCGTGGCTCCAAATTAGTTAAAACTTTTTACTGCCTTTTTATTTTCTTGTTCCTTTATCGTTGTTAAACCTAATTAGATTGCCAATCCGCTTAGGAGAAGGTGCGAATTGGGTGTAAAGTGAATTTTTGTTTAGATGGTTCTGTATTCATCGTTAATTTGTTAGGTTTGGGGAAATGGCTGTTAAACCCTAGTTAGATGTTGAAATCTAAAAAAAAATCGTTGTTTTCGGTTAATTTAACTGGGAGTTTGCGAGTTTATAGGTTTATGATTTCACTTGAACTTAAGCTATTTCTGGTTATGAGTTGTATATGTCACATGCTTAGTTCAAGTTGTAATTTGGTTTTGTGTTTATACGGGGGAGTATGGTTATAGTTGCAACTTTATGGTTGAGTTCAAGGTACATATTAGATCCCTGGAAATGATACGTAGAGTGAGAAAACTTGTTTGCTGTTTATTTTTGCTTGCTTTGTAGTTGCTGCTTAAGTTCAACTGGTTCATTCTCTGACTTGTTGCTGATTTCCATTTTATTATGTTTAGTTTATTCATATTGGATAAGCAGAATTTAACTTTTTTATTCTCGTTCTGCTTACATTACCTTCCATTGGTTTATTCTTCTGGTGGACACGGGATCACGTGTAATTCCTAATCTCTGAGTGTGTCTGAATTAGAACGACACGAGAAGTATCATATTGTTCCTAAAAGTTTTTGACGAAAGTATCATATTGTTCCTTGAACCAAGAAAATGAATACTTATATCTAGTTGGAAGTCCTGTTGAACTACCTAAAGCATATTTTTCCAGTGTTGCTTAATCTGTAACTGTTCTTTCACTGAATAATTTTAATCATGTTACCATGTCTTTAGAAGTTGTAGTTCCCTTCTACAATTTGTGCTTGTCAAGTTGATTCTAGCTTCTCATGTCCTTGATACACCAAAAGGAATGTCCTTGATATTAGATTAAGCATGTTATGGCATGCTTGGACTTTTTCCACTTACAGTCTTTCTAAGGAATGAACGTCAAATATGGTTAACAATATTGCAGGACGGGAAGGTCTCACAACTTGAGCATGTTTTCATAAGAGGCAGCAAAGTGAGGTATGTATTCATTCTAATTATTTGCATCATTTGCATCACTTTTGTTATGGATTTGTTATTCATGCCAATGCTTTTGCCAGGTTCATGGTTATTCCTGATATGCTTAAGAATGCTCCAATGTTCAAGCGCTTGGAAGCTAGGATTAAGGTACCATTTAGTTGCACCAGATTTCCTCATTTTTGCAATACCAATTCTCAATTTAGTTATTCGTTCTTGCTTTTCATCTCTAAAGGGAAAGGGTTCTTCAATTGGAGTTGGACGTGGGCGTGCTGTTGCCATGCGAGCTAGAGTAAGTCATTCTTCTTGTGCTGAACACACATTTAGGGATGGGGGTGTGGATTTGTTTTTGAAAAATATTATTTACAGTTATCAGTTGGATGTATGGAGTTTCTGAAATGTTTAACAAAAACTGATCAACTCGTCTTGACTGATAAAATGTGTGACAAAAGCTATAAAATCAAACAGAAACAGAATGGTGTTCTTTTTTTTACGTCTATTTTCGTTTCTGTTTTGGCTTTTGAGGACGAGTAAAGCACATATGCTGCCTGTTTAAAACAACCATCCTTTTGAATTTAAACAACTTTGAGCTCATCTGTGCTATAAACATATACAAAAACGGTGTTTTTATTTGCATGATGGATAGTCCCAATTTTTTATTTTTTTGTTTTTTTTTCGTTGGCAGGCTCAAGCGGCTGGCCGTGGAGCTCCACCAGCTGGCGGCAGAGGTGCAGTGCCACCTGTTCGGCGGTGAATGATTTTCTGGAGTGTTGTGGGATAATGATTTACTCTGCCTACTCGAGTTATGAGATAACCTTGAAGTGAATTTCTCTCCATCTGTAACTGAAACTTAGTATTATCATCTTTATTATGTCGGAGGATTGAATTTACGAATTGGTGGTGTTTTTGTTTCTGCGGGATTTGAAAGCATTTTGTGTTGTGTCTTAAATTACATTGCCAGGCCGTGCACTTTTAGTGCCTTTTTTTTAGGCATTTGCGAGGGCGATAATTGGCTTGACTACAAATGAAACAGTACAAAAACAAAAGTTCTAAAGAGTTGTAATAGAACAGTGGAAAAAACGAAAAAATGTCAAAATAAGCATTGTTTTTGAGACAGCCTTCAAGGCTCCAACTCGTTTTTTGATATTGAAACTTGAAAGTAATTTTTTAGATTTAACAGTTCAACTGTTAATGTTTCCCTTTCAACTTTTAGATTTAACAGTTTAATTGTTAAAATGTTTCCAAGCGGATAATTAAATTATAAATCAAGGGAGATGTTACGGTCCGTCGGAATTTGTAATTATAAATCCACTGTCTCGGAATTTGTAATTATAAATCCACTATCTCGTTACATGATGATGTAACAATTACAAATCCATATAGTATGGTTCCATAAAAGGACCGTAACAACAACAACAACAAAGTCTTTTTAGTCATAAACAAGTCGTGGTAGACTAGAGATGAAACCCAAGAGAAACAGTGGTAAGATAAATACAAAACAAAGGCTCAAAACAAAACAAAGCAAAACAAAACTCAAAACAAAAACAAAATAAAAAGAAGAGATTGGAGTAAAAGAGAAATGAGCAAAAGTTACGGTTTCGGCACGTTGATCGCTGGCCTCCAAGCGCTCCTATCCATCGCTAAATTCTTGGAGATATTTCAATTTTTAAGGTGTTCTGACCGACTATTCCCAAATGAATAAATGAGCGTAACAGCAAATTAAAACGCACAAATATGACATTTGTGTCTTTTGGGGTGGCACCAGCAAATTAAATAGCAAAAATATGACATTTGTTATTGGAACAATGCAAATTAAATTAATAAAATACTATATACTAGTATGTACCCCGTGCGATGCACGGACTTATTTATTTTGGTAAAATTTATAATTGAAGGCTATTAATCAATAAGTTATAATACATAGAACATTTGTTAGGTAACCGTAAAATGATCATCATGAAAAAAGCATACATTATTAAAAAACTCTTTGTTTTTCCATGCAAAATTATTTTTTATTTGGTAACCGTAAATCGATATTTACCAAAATTGCTCTCCACTTGGTAATTGTAAATTGCATAGACACCTCATTCCTTCATTTTTTTTGTTAATTTTCGAAATGTTATCACCATGAAATAAAACTATAGTGAAATATATAATATTGTGATAGATACTAAAGATGTGATTATATGGTGAAATTTAATTTTATATCGAGTATAAGGAAAATTGTTACCTTAAAGTTAAAGTATGGATTTTGAGTATATCTTTTTTTTTTGGGTCAATCATTTTCATTTTTTATGCCAAATTCATTCCGAAAATTGAGAATGATTTTGTTTTGTTATGTTTTAACAGAGATTTGGAATTTTGGTTGTATCTTTTGTAAAACATATTTTTAAAAATAATTACGTTTAAAAAAAACAACAACGATATTTTATCATTTGTAGATAAAAAATAACTAAATGAATCGGAGGACATGTAAATCACGGTTTTTCAATGAAAAATATGTTTCATAAAAAAAATGATTAGAAAATGATTCAAAATGATAAAAAGAAAATCGTATATTATAACAAAAAGATGTTTTCATGAGTAGTGGATTAGTGAATCGAAAATTGTGGCAATTTTAAAAAACATGGTACCATGATTGAAATGAAATCTTTAGAATATTTTCTATTTTTAGTTAAGTTGTATATATTGCATAACTATATATGAAAAAAAATAAAATATTTAAAGTTCAAATAGGCGATTTATTTATATGAATATAATAAAGTGTACAGTCCAAATAATTAAATTTTATTTAACATTTATATTGTTAATATTGATACCATGATTATTGTAAAGTCCAACTCTCATTTTCACGGTAAATTTATATTATATTAAAAATGAATTGATAAGTCTAAAAAGAGATATGGATTGAATTAAAAAGATTTAATCGTGGTTAAATATCTTGATATCATAATTATACTGTTTTTAAAAAGATATTCCATAACATTTAGTTCCATAATAATACTGCATTTAAATATAATTGATTCCGAATAGCCGGATTTAGTGTTAATCAAATATTATGGAATATCTTTTTAAAAATATCTAATTATTAATTTTTTTTTTGTTTCTTATTTATATTTTATTTTTATTGTTGCCAATTGACAATATTATGTTTGATCACTTTGTGCACGCAGATAATTTTTTAGATGTAAAGTTGTGAACTTAACAATTATCTTATGTGGTTCACAATCCATATAAACAATTGACATTTGTCAAAATTTATGTGATAACAACATCTATGCATTGTAAATGCTATTATTTTGTTTTAAATAATTTCAAATATACTTCTATCCATTCCTTATAAAATTCATACTATTTAAATTCGAACATTTCGTACCAAAAATAAATCACCCACTTTATACCACAAAATCGGACATTTATTATTAACAACACATTTTCTATAAAAAAAATAAAAATGGCTATCAGATACTTAAAATAAAATCATCAACTTTATATCAAAATTGGATTTATTAGTTTTGTCAACTTTATATCATAAATTAATTAAGTATTTTCTAAAAGTCATTTCTACATTTTGTCCAAAATATTTTTTTTAGCGGCACATAAATGTTATTTATATTTTTATATTTGGTTATCTTGTCTACGAAGAAAAAGATAATCTTGCAACTCTACTATGCCAACAAAAAAATGTATGAAAAATAACATAAATATTAATTTATTATGTTTTACTCAATACAGTAAATATAATAAAAATATAAAGATTAACGATTAATTCTCTATAATTGCTCAATCAAGTCTATATATTTAAACTAAGGATTTTGATAGTTTCTATAATAGCCTCATATTTGTTTCCATAAAACTAAATCATCCTAAATTTAAATTCAACTAATAAAGGTAATAACCATAAATATTTGACTAAAAAGATTATGTACATTAATTACATTAATTTTTGTTAATTTATTATTTTTAGTCAATAATTAATGAAATTGGCGGGAAAGTGTTTCTAAAAGTGAATTATGTTAATCCTTATTATATATTAATAGATTATTATATTCCTGTTTTTTTCTAATAATAATTTAAAAAATATTGCAAGTGGAATTTTTTAGGTACCATTTTTTTTTT